CTGACACTCTTGTCGTTCGAAAGCTTCCATATTGGTTTAGTCAGAGAGATGTTCACTCCTCGACAGTCAACAGTCAATGAAGCCACGCGCGGAATTAGGCGCTCGATACCCATGATGCTTTGCGGCCTGCTGTCCAACCTCCTCTGGTCCGCATTCGCATTTTATCCCTTTTGTCCGCATCCGCATTTTATCCTTTTTGTCCGCATCCGCATTTTATCCCTCTTGTCCGCATCCGCATTTTATCCTTTTTGTCCGCATCCGCATTTTAATCCTTTTGTCCGTCCGTCCGCATCCGCGTTTTATCCAACCCGTTCATTTACACCCAGTTTGCGGCAGGCGGTATTTCCTAAGTACCGCCTGCCATGCAGACTAGTTTCAACAGAAAATGTTAATAAACAGAAAATGTCAAACATGCAGTGTGCGTGCAACTTGCACTAGTGTGCGCCGGGCTTATTAAATTATTTCGTGACTTTAATTTACTATTACGTTTATGGGGTTTGAGCATATATAGTACTGTCAGTCTGTGCCAGTAATTAGTCTAGTGACTCCACACGAAGGTTCTTCGCGCGAAACGTCGAAATTTTCCTTATATTTTTCAGGTAGTTGCATCCCTACTAACAAACGCTTGTTATTTCTTATATACTGAATGTAGTCAGCTTATTAGTGTTATGACAGTTCTGTATCAGAATATAAATAGCTGGTATTTTCTTAGCTTCTGTCGCTTTGTGATAGTTCATATATCTATTAAGCTGACTGCACGGTAAAGTCTGGTTTACACTATCAAAGTTTCTGTCACCACAGTAGGAATTTTGGATAGGTAAACTCTACCTTTTGAAGGATTGTAAGCCTGTAAGGAATGTTTCAGAGAACTGACAAAGTGTTAAACATTGAATCAATGTTATTATTTAGTTTGAATCGTTCCAAAACAGTCATGTTGTAAAGCTGATCGTAAATCGAGGATGTAGAAGATATGCGAGTCGCATAATGGGCGTGGCCTAAAAGATTTCATGCATGTAATGTTATTGAAATGTCATATGTTGCTACTTCGGAAAAAGATAAATCTTTGGATACTTCTGATTTTATGCAATCCTTCCATAACGAGTGACTGAAAATTATTGACCAGAGTTTTTAATCGTATTATTATAGGTCTATTTGATGATGACGAAAAATATGGAAGTTTTTGTGCATGCTTCTCTCCGATTTTATGTTATATTTCAAATCCGACTATGTTTTTGAGCTGGACTAGATTTCATCCATGCAATTTGATCATGCCCAAGGCGAAGCCGAGGACTGGATCAAAATGCGAGGTTAGACTTGAAATCCAGTCCAATCCGAATTGGAGGATTTGAAATGAAATCTCATACAAATAAATCCACGGGCGTACTGGGCGGAGGGGGCGGCAGCCCCCCCCCCCGCCCTCCCCCCCTAGTTTGCTTGGCAAACAAAGCCAGTCGGGCAAATATTCGCTTCCCAATCGGGCAATATTGGCTTGTTATAAAAATAAATGGGACAAATTCTGTCAATTTTATGGGAAATTCTGTCAATTTTGTGGGAAATATGCTATCTATTAAATAAACAATCCGAAAAAGTCGGGCAAATTTCATTCCGCCCCCTAATTTTTTCCTTCCCGTACGCCCATGAATAAATCACTACTTCATTCATTTGACCCAGCCCCAGGACAGGATCAATATACTTCATCAGGTATCCAGTATTATCATGTGAGCAAAATAAGGCAATATGGTTGGCTAATTTATCATGAATTATTAATGAGTTTGAGATGTAAGATTAATTTATTGGGGTGTAAAACAAAAGTGAAATTACCAAAATAACCCATTAAATTCGAGCACCTGTATCATGGCATTTGGCTTTAATTAGCTGTTTTGCACAACCACGCTTTGTTTAATAATCAATTACAATAAATATAAAAAAGCTTTCGACAACTAATAATGATTTATCGCAATAGTTTTCAAATGAGGAGGATGCGGTTTCAATCCAATGAACTTATTTGTACTTTCAGCTATCAAAGGCAAACAGCATTTGACTAGACTGCACAGGCAACATGCAGAACAAGCGACATGGCCATAGCACCAAACACTATAATACAAAAATGGCAATTCAGTATTATGAAAACGTCTTCGACATTGAAAGAAATCCAGGATATATACTGGACGAATCAGACGTATACTTTAATTCAGGAGATGCTCATAGATTAAACAATCAGATTCAAACGGCAATTCAGTATTATAAAAAAGCCTTAGAAATTGCACAAAAACAAGGGTATAAACAAGGGGAAACAAACGCATATCTTGAGTTAGGATATGCTTATAGATTCAATAATCAGACTCAAATGGCAATTCAACACTATGAAAAAGCCTTGAAAATTGCAACAGAACGAGGATACAAACAAGAGGAAACAAACGCATATCTTGGGTTAGGAGATTCTTACAGGTTGAACAATAAGATTCAAACGGGCATTCAACACTGCAAAAAAGCTTTAGAAATTGCAACAGAACGAGGATATAAACAAGAAGAAACAAACGCATATCTTGGGTTAGGGCATGCTTATCGATTGAACAATCGGATTCAAACGGCAATTCAATACTATGCACAAGCCTTGGGAATTGCAATAGAACGAAGATATGAACAAGAGAAAACAAACGCATATCTTGGATTAGGGCATTCTTATAGATTGAACAATCAGATTCAAACGGCAATCCAACACTACGAAAAAGCCTTGGAAATTGCAACAGAACGAGGATACAAACAAGAGGAAACAAACGCATATCTTGGGTTAGGATATGCATATAGATTGAACAATCAGATTCAAACAGCAATTCAACACTATGAAAAAGCTTTGGAAATTGCAACAGAACAAGGATATAAACAAGAAGAAACAAACACATATCTTGGGTTAGGACATGTTTACAGATTAAGCAATCAAATTCGAACGGCAATTCAACACTATAGACAAGCCTTGGAAATTGCAAGAGAACGAGGATATAAACAAGAGGAAACGAACGCATATCTTGGGTTAGGATATGCTTGTAAATTGAAGAATGAGATTCGAACGGCGATTCGACACTTTGAAAAAGCCTTGAAAATTGCAGCAGAACGAGATTATATACTTCAAGAAAACTTGACAAGAAATGAAATTAAAGTATTGTCAAAAAGTGCAGGTAAGCTTAGCAACCTCCTATACCCAGAGTTTTCTTGTTGCGAAGGAAAGCCATGCATGGTAGTATAGCTGTACACGTGACCTGCTCAAACCTAACAGAGTTTTAATTAGCGCTCTGCAAATTTGGAAGGGAGGGAATGTACTATTTGCACGAGTTTTGCCATGTGCATGTGAAAGTTTTGTTTTCTCCAATAAACATGACAAAAATCTGATTTTAGATGTCAGGTTGGTAAGGTTATATATAGCTAAGAAACAAAAAAATCAATATGGCACTTGACTTGCAATTTTCAAATTTTCTGCAAATAAAAATTTGTTGCGTTGAAGAGCAATTTCGTGATTGATAGTCAGTAAAATCCCAAAATAAAGCGCGAGTTCGTCAAATGTTCGAACTATCAAACCGCAAATTCCCATATACACCTTGGTTAAAAACTTTCATGTTAACAGAAAGAGATATACAGATGAAAGAAACTGACTGACCTCATAAAAAATATCTAATGATTCTGACAAACATTGAAGGATTATGTTTTGTCCTCGCTGCTTCAAGTAGCTGATAACGTTTATTTGACCATGACGGAATTTTCAATACCTGGAATAATTTCAATACCTAGAATGATATTTCAGTTTTTTGAAAAAAAAACAGTAACTATAAAAGAGAAGATTAAAATAAAAAATAAACATAATTACCCTTGGAAGCTTTGAAAAGTTGCAGTTCGTTTGATTCGCCTTTTTACATATCTACATGTAAATATTATTTCATATTATTTTATAAAACATAGCACACGCTTTATCGAACTCTCTTCTTGTTTCAACGTTTTAAATAGTTCGAGAAGTTATGGAAGCTTGGGTTAATATGACTGTATTTTTAAACTTTAGATTTAGATGCAGTCGTTAAAAGCTATTATACTGATGGTGTTAACATATCCGATACATCAGACAAGGCTCTGCAGCTTCAGGACGATACTGCTGAATATGTGACGCTAACAGACATTAAAAACGAAAATATCAGAGATGATAGAATTGCGTCTGCCGAACAGTTATTCATTTTAGGACATTGTTACCAAACGGAAGGCCAAAACGAAGAGGCAATCAAAAGCTACGAACAAGCAGTTCAAATTGCGGATGAAATAGATCACAATGAAACCAAAGCAGAAGCCCATCAGCATTTGGGAAACGTATTTACTGGAACTTCTGAATACAAGAAAGCAATTGAACATTACAAGAAAGCACGTAAAATTTTTCCAGGTCTCAAATCAGATGAGATGGAACTAATAGCAAATCAGTGGTTAGGTTACAACCACCTGCAAGCTGGTCAGTACCAAGAATCAATAGAGTATTATAATGAAGTGGTGACACTTGCCTCACAGCTTGGATGCAAAACGAGAGAGGTCAATGCAAACATGGGATTAGGAAGTGCGTTCAGTTATATTGGCAACTTTGAATTCTCAGAAGAGTATTTCGTAAAATCCATTATACTGGCAGAATTGTGTAATGACAAAGGTCTTGAAAGAGAAGCTCATACAAACCTGGGACACATATACTACAAGAGTTGTAAGTTCGATGCTGCTGTCAAATCGTATATCAAAGTTCAAGAAATGTCTCACGATCTTGGTGAGAGAAAAGCAGAAGCCAACGCCTGTCTCATGCTCGGTCACACTTTTCGACAATTAAAGCAACATGAGAAAGCCATTGAATCTTATCTAAAAGCGGTAAACATTAATAAAGAACGGGAAGATAAAGGAAACCTAAGAAATAGTTCCGAGAAAGCTCAAGAGGCAATTATAAATGAGTGGTGCGGATACTGTTGCAATTTTATTGCTGGTCAACATCAAGAAGCAATAACATTTTATGAGAAAGCGAAGGAAATTGCAAAACAAGTTGGAGAAAAATATCAAGAATATCGCACAAACCAAGCTATCGGAAATATCGTCTGCAATATTGGTAATTATGCGAAGGCGAAGGAATATTATCAAGAAGCTTTGACAATTGCTATGGAACTTGGTGATAGGCACTCTGAAGGAACATCATGTTTAAATTTGGCATCAGTTTGTAGCAAAGATTGTGATTACGAGATTGCGGTAGAATGGTACGAAAAGGCTGCGGATAGTTTAACGATCATGTTTAATGATCACGTTCTGAAAAAGAAGGCTCATATTGGCTTGAGTGTTGCCTGGTTTAATCTTGGAAATACTAAAAAAGCAATTGAATCAATTCGAAAGGTTAAACCGTCCAAGGAGCACACCGTCCAAGGTAATTATTTCGGATAATATTAAAATATAAATAGTGAAAATAAGGGGAAGTATACAAGGCAAGTATTGCATATTGAAGTTTTAAAATTCTGAAAACTGTTTATCTCTGTCATTATATATAGATCATCCCAACGTTGACCTTACGCACCAGCGCAGAAAATTTGGAAAGGAAATGTCGTCTTTACAAACATCAGGTAAGTTCAATTGAAAACTTCGTGCAATATAGATATGGCGCAATGTTTGTTTAGCGACGAAATTCAGATATGCTGCAACAGCGACTTATCATGTACTTCCATAGTTTGCTTTGTGCTACATTAAAATTATGTTAATTACATTCTAATTTGATGTTTGTGATGTTACTCTGAATGTGCATCCACACCAGGCAAGCCGAAAGTGGGAATCGAACCCGCGACCTTTGGGGTACCAGTCTGTTCCAAAATACCACACACACGAACAGATTTGGCCTCGTAACTCAGTTGGTGGAGCATTGGACTAGTATCCCGAAGGCCGCGGGTTAGATTCCCACCGTGGTCAAGCAAACTTTTCGGCTTGCCCGCTACGGATGCACACTCAGAGTAACATAAAAAACATCATATTCACCCGAGTACATAACTGCAACACACAAATCTACATTCTAATTTAATTGGATATTTTTACTTCGGAAAAATTTTGAATGTTAGGTACCTGTGTATGTAGCAACGAATACAATTTGCAGGATGTGTATAAGAAAGAACTATAATACATCGGTAACGTGGGTCGAGAAAACAGATATTTTGTCATTTTGAAACAAAAGCGATCACGTGAAAAGAACAAACCAATCAGATAGATTTAATCAAAACAACATAAAAAAAGTGAAAATGTAAATCACATTGACATTAAATGATAAATTAAACACAATACAAAAAATATATAAAAACAAGTATGAAGCAAGGTGGGGTGGGACAGCACTGTCAATGTCTATTCTGCTGACGTTAGGCAAGGCAGATTAAAGTGAAGAGTGTGAAAAACACTTCTATGCGAGTTGTATTTAGTTAAGTTTAGTTGCACTTGAAAGTTAATATGTAGATATATTGTGAAACTGAACAATTGTAATAGTTAATGCCAGTCAATAAAATATAGATGTTAATCAGGTTATGACAGGAACACCATGCATGTTTCATGTTAACATTCATTTTTACTCACTATATTTATGTTTATCTGTACAATAGATTCTCGTACAGAGACAGAAATGAAAGGATTTCAAACAGCAGGGCCAGTCACAGGTAGAATTCAAAAATCATATTCATTTCACTCTTGCAAGTGTGCATGTTGTGTATACTACAAGTAATCAATTCCTGCCAAATTGCATGGTGAAAAATAAATGTAATACCCGCGGAGTTAACTGATAAATTTAGAATTAAATATAGAAAGTATAACTGCGTAGGAACAAAAAAATTTCATTGATGCATGAAGTTTGACTTTAATCTTTTAAGGTGAATTAGAATGGGTAAACTTGGTTGATGAAAAAGCATGTTACTCAAGCAGAAGAGAACAGTTACCAAATGAAGACTTGGCTCGTCTTGAAAAACACATCAAAGACTTTCATCGTTTGTACGTGTATACTCATCGAGCATCGAGCCAGGATATTTTTACTGAGAAACTTCGTAAATCCATGACAAGGAATGTTAAGTCGTCAGCTTACCGAAACCTGTTAAATTCGGAGAATAGAGATAAATTTGGAAAAAAAGATGGAAAATTTGTACGTAACGATAAACACGTTTTCAACTTCGCAAAAGAAGACCTATTAAACAATGCTTCGACCAAAATGCCTGCAAGATTGTTGGAGCCCCTTAGTTTTTACTCCAAATCTATTGGTCAAATTTCGTGTGGAACAATTCAAGGAACTTGTTGGCTTGTGAGAGACACGTTGGTAATAACTAACCATCATGTTTATATGATGATCAACACAGAAAGCGAGAAACTGCAAATTCCCGACTTGCCCATCACAGTTACATTTGATTATTTGCACCCTGGACAAAGAGAACATGTTGTCACTGTAGAAGTTGATGAAGAACGAGATCCCCAGCTAGAAAGTTGTCGGTTGGATTATAAATTTTTACGTTTGAAAGAAAACGAATGTCTTGAAGGTCGTGTTCCGCTTGGCCCAATAATTCGATCTGGTCCATTACAAGAAGGTCTTGTTACTATCGTTGGTCATCCAGCAGGAAGCGAAATGCATGTAGAAACATGCGTCGTTGTACGGAGTCAGTCGTGGCGTGAGAAGCTGGATCAAAGGCATGAGGTTTATGCTGGTTTGCATATGACCAATGCAGAACTACTGGACTCTACCGAAAGATATAAAAATTGTCTGCCCTACGACACAAGTTTCTTTTCTGGTGCTAGTGGCTCTCCTGTTTTTGATCTGAATGGAAACATTGTCGCTATGCATACGCAGGGATACACACTAAACGTTGAAGACGGACAGTGTTCCTTGATGGAGTTTGGTGTCCAGTTCAATGCAATTTGTGACGACATGAAAAGACGGCACATTGACGTTAAAGAGTTATTTCCAAATCATAATTTGGATGTCGATGAACAATCGATGAATCAAGGTAAGTTTTACTCCACAAATATAAAGACAGAAATTCCTTGTTTAATTATATAAAATTCATGGAATATATTAAAGTCTGAAAATATAAGCGCAATTATTGTTAATGTTTAGGAGAGATTGTTTAATATAAGCGGTGTTAACGTATCAAAGCTGAAATGCTATCGACGAAACACGGTTTCCAAACCAGTGCATGCTGTAACTATTTTGATGGTTCCATTTTTTAATATTTTCACATTACTAATTATTCATGTTGGCACGGTAGAATGCGGTGCAAGTTCTAAATTTTCCTGTAAATATAGTTTAGGTAAAATAGATAAACTGCCTCGTGTAACATTGCCGAAAATTCACGTTTGTCATGAGTATTTTTCTAGATGTAGATCCACTTCTAAATGTAGTCTATTTCTAAATGTAGATCTGCAGCGTGAGAATAATATGAAACAAGTTTTTCATATATCTGAGGATGGTTCTGAAACAGAACTTTATCACTCTAAACAGAATTGGCTAACGTTTGTTTACACCCAATTCCCAACTTTGGATAACGCATACGCCTAGCTACAATTTGTTCTAGTTTACGAAAGTACATAATAAAACAAAGGTGACTAAGCATTAGAATTATGTACATAGGTGAATAACTCTTATACATAATCCTTGTGCTTAGTTACAGTACCTTTGTTCAATTCCCATGCATGCTTCCGTTAACTGGAACAATAGTAACTGGGTACGTGTGTTTTCTAAAGTTGTGAATAAACCTTGTGCATAATGACGTCACAAGGCTTGATGGAATACTGGTCTTAGTAGTCATTGCCCGCGAAAATTAAACAATTCAATATGTCTACTGTCAACATTTTCCCAGGCCATGACTACAAAGACCAGCATCCCTCGCGGGCATCAAGCCTTGTGACGTCATTATGCATAAGGTATATTTGGTAGCAACGACCTTAACAAGCGTTAGTCCAATTTTTATGTTGTACTAAAATGTTATGATTGTTTGAAGAAATAAAATTGTGGTTTGTTGCCCATAAAATGGAAAGAGAACTGAAACTCTGTTCTTTTTTAAGACGTCCTAAAAAAAACCCAGCTTTTGGCCTGCAAACTTTAACATCAGCGTGAAATAAATATTTATTTGCATGGTACTTTCAATCATTCTAAGTTGTTACGTAATCTTTCTTACAAATACAGAAACCGGGCCGAAACGTGAGGGAATGAAAGATAAAAAGGAAATCTGGTTTAAAGCTACTTTCCTTGACTCCAAACGCAAGCTGAAAGATGAAGTTCACGAAGAATTAAGAAGGTATCAATATTTAACAAACTTTTTCTAATTGTTGTACAACATCGTAATGGCATGGGCAATGACGAATCTGTGTTGTCGGTAAAACTAATCTATCGCAATTTCAATTAAGTTTGAAACAAAGTCTGTCAATACTCTTTCGAAAACTTGAAAAATTAAAAAAACTTTCATTAAAGCGTCTGTTATAATGAAATGATGTTTTATATCATCAACAAAACATTTTGACGCCCTGGTCGGAGGCGTGTTGACAAATTGTTGCGACTACTAGTAATCATTGTTCTAGTTTACGACGACATCGGATATATAACAATTACGCCATTCATGTTTCGCTCGCTACTCTGGTTTAAATAAATGATTACAAAGCCTAGTCGATTTTCATTTATTGAAACCAGAGTAGCGAGCGAAACATGATTGATATACCTGGTTGCAGTGAACGAACAAACTTTAAATTACGCCATTTATAGTAATTTACTCGCATGTTTACCGTATAGCTTCGCATAGCGTAAATATATAGCAACTCCTTTTTCGAAGACATAATATTCATATGAAAGTAAAATTGCCAACTAAATCTGGTAACCGTTTTCGCATTACTAACATGGCATTGCTCTATATACACTGTAGTTTTCCTTGGTTGTGTGGAGCATATGGGCTGACCGCTCCAACAAAAAAGATCGCTCGTCCACATATTTATCTCACAGTTAAAAGAGGAATGAAGAAATCGGATGTACGACGCGATCTTGAAGATAAGTTTAAGTGTGACGCAAAGGAATACTTTGAACTCCTTCAAGAACCCAAAAGAAAACCAAAAATCAAATTATTAGGGCGAGAACGAAACAAGGTGACATCGTCTGTCACATCAGTCAAAGCGGTAGCCGGTGGTGGCGTATTCGCTTGTATTAAGAACAGTTCTAACAATTCAAACCCTCTACGAGTGCTAGAAGAAAACGAAAGAGAGGACATACCCGTTGCACAGGGAACTGGGACTTTAACCATGTTTTGCACCCAGGATGAACAGCATTACGCACTTACTTGCTTTCACGTCGGTTGTGCAACTGATGAAAACTGTTTGAACGCGACATTAAATGAAAAGGAAAATATTCAGGCGATCCGGAGTTCACTTCCAATTTATGAAGAGCATGCTAAGGAACAGCAGTATTATTTTGCAGAAAGGGTGGCCGTAGAGAACAACAACGAACCCATTACGTTTGCAGACGATGGAAGCAACTACACGCGCCTCGGTGATTTTCACAATTATCAATTTGATAGTAAATGTGACATTCTGTCTCTAAAGGTTTCAAAGGACACTAAAATTGATTGCAAAATATTGGATATAACTTCTCCGAAATGGAAAAATATATGGCATGAATACTATGAGAGAGTCTTCAGCACTGGTCGCAATCCTGTGATGGTGGAGAAAAGAAGCTTTTCGTCGGCTGAGACTTACGGTCATATTGTTCCATGCGATTATAGTAGTGAATTCTTATTCCAGGATGCAATCGTTGTTGAGGGATGTAGTAGTCCGTTTCTGAAAGGTGGGGACTCAGGTTCTCTTGTTTTCCTTCATGACAAGAATGATCAGAAACAAGTTCTTGCCTATGGTGTTTGCGAATTGGACGAGCTTCCCGCCTTAATTAAACAGCGCGAGTCAACAAGCTTACCTTCGCATGGAAACGCCCAACCAGCACAGCCAGCGACCTCCGTCGATGACGATAGTGACAGCAGTAGTATTTGGAGTTGGGAAGATTATTCCGGCAGCTCTAATGAAGACGAAGCTGTGGATGAATGCGTGGAGGAAACTGAACATAACGATGAACGCTCTGAAATTGAAGATACAATTAAATGTCAGAAAGATATTGAGTGTGAAAACGAATTTGAAAACATAAATAAGCGTGAAAGTGGCGAAAATAATGAATGCAAAGCGAAATGTGAAGAAAAAAATATATATGAATGTGAAGATCAGAATAAAAGTGAAGATCAGAATAAAAGTGAAGATGAAAGTGGAGATAATAAATATGACGATGACGCAGATGACCAATCTGATTTCGAAGTTGTATTCCAGGAGGAAAGTACGGGGCCATACTTTATCTGTTTAAGATTAGATACCGCTTTGGAAAACTTGGGGCTTGACAAGGCAGCTTGTTATAGCGATTGTGGTAGTAACTGAAAATCGTACTATTTCTGTAGTCTGTTGACAAAATGCATGAATATATATATATATATATATATATATATATATATATATATATATATATATATATATATATATATATATATATATATATATATATATATATATATGGCGCCCTTCCGTGGTTATATATCCAGTGAAAGCTTTTTAAAAAATAATAACAAAAAAATGAATATACGTCATGTCAAATGACATGCAAAATCATAAGACGGCATTATTAATTAAGTGTAAAAATTGGAAGAATAATTAAACTTAATTAGAATGTCTCAAAAACTTGTTTGGCAATGTACATAAGCCAATCAGGAAAGAGAAACAATTTTTCTACGCGTGAGAAAGAACGATTGGTCTAATCAAATGATACAACGATCTTGAACGATGACGTTTTAGTAAATTCACTAACGGCTGAAATTTTCCAATTGTCATGACTTTCTTTATTGCGCCCGCAGTAGATCGTGTCGCTTTATATCGATTTTTATTGTTGTTGTTGTTGTTGTTGTTGTTGTTGTTGTTGTTGTTGTTGTTGTTGTTGTTGTTGTTGTTGTTGTTGTTGTTGTTGTTGTTGTTG